GTACATATCCCTCAATATACTGATATATTTTTTCATAGGATGCAGACGAGTTTTGAAAATAAAACTGCCCGGGGCTTTTGCGCCGTTTTAGGTTTGTACTGTTCAGGTTAAATTATTGGAGTATGCGCATAAAATGTAGGTCCACCGCTTTCAGAAATACCAACATATTTAACTACAAGGCCACTTCAGCGCCAGGTCGTTGCTATTTTGGATTCAGCCTCCGAAGGCCGTACTCTCGTCAGTCGTAATTTAGAATTGAGCCAACATTTCTACTTATTTTCTTAAAAGTAGGCACATTTATTATGTTACCAGTTTTTGGTCTATGCCGGATGCAGTGGGAAGGGCTTCAGTAATTCTCAAAATTTTCTGTCCGTTTAACGCCGAACCTAGTTGCAAACAACGGCTGTTCCCTCATGAACGGTATCTACCGTTTTGACGCTGCATTCGCCTGGTGTCACATGAATGTAAATGATAAAAGAAAGACCAGAGACATTACCCTCTGAACGATTAGCATCAGTGGCTGTTGAATGCATTAGAATAACCGGAAATTGATCAAAGAAGACGGTGACTTGAAATCTGTTTAGGGACACGTTTTCGGACTCGGATCAGGAGAACTGCCAGACACTCCAATTGTCCGAACTGGAGTACCGGACGCTCACCGTCTAAATATGTTAGTTACTTATTTGAAAAGATGATTCGCCGCGATTCCCAAATTTCGTTCTTGTTAGCCCTGCTTGTGTACTATTTACCCAAGGGTGCCTGAGAAGTGTAGTTCGGCTGAATACTGGATGAGTTAACGTGTCAGATCGATGATAATAAACCAAAAGAACCATCAGGTAAATCTCCCAACGAATCTTCACTAGTTGAAGAAGACTCGAAGTCTTTTCATTTCAGGTCTTTATTGCTCCATTTTCAGGCAGTTTGAAGAAAAGACCAACGAAATCGAGATCTGCGGAGGCAGAGGAACCGGAAATAGAGCTAGGCACGCCAACTAATAATACACGATTTCACATGAGATGTAAATAACGCGCGTGTGTGGGAGAGAGAGAGGGGGTGGAGTGATAAGTTGGAGCCTGGAGCCGAGCGATAGACTTGGCTGCTTTGGACTGTCTATCTCCCTCGCACTCAAAAAGGATGTTGTACATCTGAGTAAACTACATAAAAAGCTGTAAAGTAAGAGAGAGAAGCTAGAAAGTCTGTCTAGCAAATGAAGGCATAAAGGGTTTGTCGTCCGTGCTCGCGTGTTTACTTGTAGCCCAGTAAACGCTGACTGGATAGGCGGAGAATTGTTGGCTCCTACGGAAACTGATTGGTAGACTTTGCCTCCCGAAAGGTGGTCATCAGGGCACTGGCAGGGGGCGCATGCGATGTTCAGAGATCGGTCTCGCCGAAAACGGCATTTGAAAATGCACTGTAGTCCAGCGCATTGGGTTCGGCGTCGTTGCCCTTGTAGGACTTCATGCGTTCTATACAGTACTCCGCCTGTTCTGGGGGAAGTTCGCGCCGGAGGATATCTGGTGTCACGTAGGGCTGACAAGGATGAAAAAGAGGTTGAAATAAGCGGCACTGCCGTGTCGACTGAGCTCAAATGATACGAAACGGTTGATCTTGGAGCCAAGTAATAAGAGAAAAGGCTACTCATAGATGAATCTGAAGGTCGTCGACTGACTACAGAAGTTTCCCATTTGCTGCAATTTGCTATCACGTCTTTGTTTTTTAATAAGTAACGCACAATGCTTTTCGAAACTCGAGGCCTGCGGCCGTCTAATAGACAGCGTCCAGTCAGAAGCGCACATACACAAGAACATTGAAGGCCGATTTAATTTAACTCTCGAAAAATTTATAATCTGAAACAGGTCCAGTAGAATACAAACTACATTTCCCTGTACAGAGAACATCGGATTGACGCTAACAGAGAAGTAATGGGAGGAGAGGGCGGAGTTACCGCAGCAATTACTCCGAAGAAGAGAAAGGTAACTGCAGGATTTCGACTCACTGGATGCAATTCCTGTTTACAAACGGCTTACTACTGGTTAGAAAGAGGGGGAGGTTTCAAGCTGGACAACTGAATTGGATCAAGTCCCGTGCCGTGATCGGACTTGTTAAGAGCTAATAGCAAAAACATTATCTTCCTACAAGCAATAAAAATATGCTCGATATTGTAGAGGTAACACCCAAGAATAAGTAGAGTACGCAAAATAGGCTTCTTTTTTGCGGAAAGAGCTACAAGTGCAGACTACCCACCGAGGATCTCATCAATCGTCTACACTCCGAACAGTTTTCGAGGGTTGAAGTTTTCAAATTGTCCAATTACCTGTTTACGAGACTCCACTGGATATATGAAGTGTATAATATCCACAAAAAGAGAACATTCTTGTGAAAAATGAACAAACGATCGGCAAATAACTAACTGGCAGTAAAATCACGAATAGAAAATATTCCACTAATAGCCTTTAAACCAGTTCGAGTTGGCGAAAATACAAATAACTGGCCATTTGACTGGCACAATAATAATGGCAAACCAACTGTCTCGTTATAAACTTTCAGACTTATTGGATGGGGGAATCAATATGTCTGTGCGTCTGCGGGCTGAGAGTCAGGCTCAATGGTTCCTTCTTAATGTGGCCTTTATGGCGCTCCCAGGCGGGAGCCTACCTTGCGAGGTGTGCTGATGGTACGAGTGTTGAGTGTTGGTCGCGCCAGCCGCCTGCGCCCTCCCACATGTTCGGCGT